AGGGTCTGGAACATTTAAGTTCCTGAATTTTAGAATTTGTTTTGTAAGTGCCATCCTTTGTTCTTAATTTTTCATTTTGGACATAATCTCACCACAGTGAGAATAGGGTCGTAGTTACTTTGGTTAGCAAACAAATGACACTTCTTGCATTAGGAATTTCCGTGTTCTTTAATCTGGTTTCTCTTAGAAGAAGCCTCAAGATGTTGGTCTGAGTGGCTGTGTACAGTGCTTTCCAAGTGTCAGCAATCGTACAGGAAACAACTGGTTCAGTTTAATTCCTTTTTTAGTTCTGTACAGGGTGCCTGAGACGGGCTGCTCATTTGTTCCTTGTGACAAACCATACCATGCTTCCTTGGGAGAGCACAGGATTAGAGGAAACAAAAAACTGGAAAACTTAATTTTGTTAAATGTGGTCTAGACTACCCAGCTAGCAAACCTTATGCTTTTGCTGTGCTATCAGAGTAAGTTGAGAACCATCTGCACTGTCTAAGTAGTGGGGAAAAAAGATAAGGGACCAACAGGTTTCAGAGCATGGGAATGTTGGAGAATATGTGAGTTTGTTCCTGTATCATTTGGCATCTTTGAAGAATTTATCTCCTCTTAAACAGGACAGCTTTTAAGGGAAGAGATTCAATTCTTGTTCCACGCTTTCTCAATAGAAGTTGCAGTTCAATCTCAAAATATTCTTCCATTAATTTAGTTCAGCAAAATGCCCTTCAGAAGTGAATGGAAGATCTAGCTTTTGGTTTCAGGCCCTCCTTATGTAAGCTTAATGGCTTTTTGGTAGTCTTTTTTCAAAATGTAAATTTTATCTCACAAAACTAATTTTCCAAAGCACAGTTTGTGATGGTGTGCATCTCATTTTTGGAGCTGCTTGTAAACACAGAAAGGTTCTCTCACAAGAATTTTAGTTAGTGCCTACTGTCAACTGCTTCGTCAACTGCTTGTGAGGCTCCCTTGGACATTCCAATACCAAGAATTGAACTACACTCAATATTGCACCTGAGTATGGGAGTTTTAACTGGGCTGTTGCTTAAGGATTTGTCATGAGACCTTGGCAAGTGCCAAGGGGGCAAGGACAAATTAAGTAGACAGAAGGCCATTAAATGCATCTCAGTGAATTGGCTGGTGAAGGGAAGCTTGCATCAGGTGCTTCCTGGATGATGATAAGCTTCTTAAATGTTATAGTCTCTACATGACTCTGAAGCTTCACTTCTCAAGCTTCTTCAGCTGTGCAGGAGTTACCAAAATACGGTAAGATGGACAGAACTGCTGTACAAGTACTGCCAAAATGCAACAGGCCTGTAGTTAGTTGGCAGTTGATGCCCTTTGTCATGTCTGTCTCAAAGTATAAATTCCCTCTCAAAAGCTCTATTATAGCTTTAGTGTTATTTTATAAACATTAAAACTTATGTTAAGTGTTATATCAGGTAGTAGAAATGCTGGGGTTAGTCAGTGCTTCTCTTAAAGGAAAAAAATGGTTACTTGATTGGTTACTAATCTCTGAGCATTGAAAGATCAAAGGTACTGATCTCTTGTTGCAATTTCATTTTTTTCATTGCAAAATGTTAAGTCTGTTAGAAAAACAGCGGGTGGGAAGATGAAAGTTGGAATTGGTAAAATGACGTAGAGATTAAAAAATTGACATTTCCGAAAGACCTATTTGATTGTACTTTGAAAATACAAACCTGAGGATCAGCCTGCACTACAGTAAGTGGCTGTGGTCACGTAAGGTGCAATGGATTAGTTTTGAGATTACGTTAAAACACCCCACAACTCCCTTAAACGCTTGGTCCTTGTACATACTTGCAGCTTCTGAGCTCTACAGGCAAGAAATTCTTCCCTTCCCACCCCTGCTCTGCTGCCAGGAGAACGCTGCTTTTTCTTGCACTTGTGTGCTGAGTCATTTAGGTTATGTGCAGTTACTGAACACCAGCTTACGTTGAATCAGGATCTGGGGGGTTGAACAGTGAGAAGAGTCACTGAAGGATTTTTTTGCCTCTTAATAGTGAGATTAGTCTAATGGACTGTTGGAGGCTTCATTAAATATTGCATTAATGTTACTGCCATTGAGCGTGATAGTTGAAGTCAAGAATGAGTAGAGTGCATTTATATTCACTAAGCAGACAGACATGCCATGTGAGTTTACTTAATTGCTATTTACTTTTATTAGCCTGGAAAATCATCGCAGATTTTTCATTTTGCATTTATTGTGGCAGTAAATTCACAAGCAGCGTAAGCCTGCAGATTCTGGAACAGCTTTCTGGAGTGAAGCAATGAGACAAGACATTATTAAAACCCTTGAGGTCTGCAGCAGTAGGTGCTGGTTTCTGCTTTGCGCCGCAGCTGGGAGGGAGCTCACGAGGCTCACTGGGTAGCGCAGATGCTGTACAGGGAGGGCTGTGTCAGCTCTACAGGTTAACTGAAGCTAAGTGTAATTTCTCTTCTGCTTGCGTGACTCAAATGCTTTTTAGGGCTGAAGATATCTGTGGCCTACTTCTGCTTGGAAAGGATTTACATATGGAAAGGTCCCTTAATTTAAGCACAATTACTGTATGCTAGAGCACCCACTAAAAAAATTGCTGTTCAGACTGGAAATCTATTCAAGCAGCTACTGCTTTTAAGCAAGAGAAATCAAAGATTCAGAATTTTACTAGAGTTACAAGCCACTGGTACTGTCTCAGTAAACAAAAATAGGGGTATTTTTTTTGTTTAGTTCATTTATTTTTGGTGTTTTGCCTGAATGATATCAAATGTGTCTTGTTTGATGAAAGCTGGCAGGTAATTTATTCTCTTTTAAGAGGGAGAGTATATGCTGCTGTGTCCCACAACCATGGCAGCTTGGCATCCTGGTCTGGTGGTAGCAGTGGTTCATTGAAAGGACTGCAGAATCATGAAGGTGATCACTGTCATCATGTTGGCCCTGAACTCAAGTAGCAAAATAGGCATGTAAGTGGGGGTTTTTTATTCCTTGGGACAATGAGGTAAGGAGAGGTTTAGGGGGGTTCTGCCTAAATGTTTTGTTTTTTTTTTTGCAGATGGAAATTCTAAAATTGTGAATGACATAATGCGGTGGGAAATTCTTCCATATGCCCTGGCAGTGGCTCAGAGCCAGTCAATGAAGCTGAAGAGATTTGAACTGCTGTTCAGAACAGTTACTTAACAGCCTAATTCACCTGACATCCCTGCCCTCCCTGCCCCATCCCTATTAGGTGGTGGTTTGTGAATTTGAGAATTGTTAACCAGCAGCTCAGCCATGAGAATCCTGTGATGGGTGGCTTGGCCTAAAAGACTTAGAAGGAATTCTGATAGTTGTTTTGGCAGTGGCACCCTTCCTTACCTTCTCCCTAGCTTATCACTGACATCTTCTCAGGAGCTGGAATCCTTAATGACTAAACCCCTTCTCACTGCATCTTAATCTGTGATCTGTATCTGCCCTGATTAGCATCTGGACCCCTGGTTTCAAATGCCAGTGGGAACAAGTCTGCTCTGATTCCTTATTTTCTCAAGGCATCTGTAAAGCACAGCTGTACATGGTGCAAGCCCGTGGGTGTCAGTCTGAACGCATCTGTGCAATAGCAGGAATGTGAAACCAGCATGAAACACTTGGCTGGACAGGGTACTGCACGAAGTGGGAAGCTGAAGTTACTTTCACTGAGAAAGACAAACTGTTCCTCAACATTTCATACCACTGAAATGTGCTATGAAATGGCCACTTATGTGGCCTCTGTAAGAACAGACATCTAGGCATAAGTATAATTTGGGTGTTTGGTATATTTAAAAAAAACCAAAACAAACCCCCCCAAAATACAACATACTGCAATATGGGAGGGTTGGTCTCATTTTTAGCTGTTACGATATGGAACTTGCAGTTGTCTGTCAGTTACTGGATATGTAATCTGGTATACTACTAAGACTCACAAGATGAGCTCATGAAATCATTATTTGCTTGCTTGTAAGGGAATTATGCTTAAATCTGTAGTGATGGAACCAGGTCAACCCCACAGGAGGTCTGTTTGTTCTGATGCCAGGTGGAGCCATGTACCACTTGTCCTTATTACTGTAATTTGTTTCCATTACTTTGAGATTCAGCTAAGGTAAGATACAGATTTTCCCACATGTAGGTTAGAGTGAAATCAGTAAAGAACACATCCAAGTATTAAGTTTGATGCTTGACAGTTTACTCTCAAAGCTAGGCAAGCTCAATTGTGTCAGTTCCTTCTAAGATCATCTCTGTGCCTGAGTTCAGTTGTGAAATAAATTATGAGGTCAACATACTCCTGCTGGTGAGGGATTACAGACAAGGTTGTCTTAAAATAATCCATTTAATTAACTGCTTCTGAAATAACTGGCCTGCATATTAACGATGTCCCTCTTATTAATTAGGCAGTACTAAAATACTGTGTTAAGTAGTCTATTGTAAGGGAGAAGAGAATTCACTTGTTATTTCAGGAAGGTTTATTTCTGTTTCCCTCTCAGCCTGAAACAGTCCTTGCCAGGCTTGAATGGGAACAGGAGGATACTGCTGTTTCCGTGTTGAGGTTTGCCACTCTCAATTGGCCTGGATGCTTTTCAGTTGTAATTATGGAGACATGATGAATGCTAAGTGATAGAATGGGACCACTTAACTCTGATAGGTTCCTGAGGCAGCCAGCGCTGACTGAGGGAAGTTGTGTTAAGTTGCAGTGGGACAGTTACACAAGGACAGAGTGGCCCCAGCACATACAGCTGAGTGTTCTCAATATTTTGGCACATATTGAATTTGGCACCGCCTTCATTCTCACCCTTCATTCTGCCTTTTATTTCAGGTAATAGTCAAAATCACTCTTGTGTTCCAGTGAGGGGAATTGGTTTACAGCAATTGGAGGGGAACAGTTTTAACTATCCTCTTGGACTCTACTACATGAGTAACCCACGTAAGAAAAGTCTTAAGTAAACTTCAGAATAACAAAATATAACTGGAGATGCCAGAACATGTCAATAGGAAGATAACCAACTACTACATGAGTAACCCATGTAGGAAAGGCTTAAGTAAACTTAAGAATGACAAAATATACTGGAGATGCCAGAACATGTCAATAGGAAGATAACCAGAGCAGCAATCGCCAAAGTGAGTAAGTGCATCCAGTTGCTTTGATGGATCCTCTCTGCTCATCCAGGTAATTGTAGAAGGAACTGGAGATTCTTAAGACTTGTAACAGTGCTCCAGGCTGAGGGAGCTGTGACCTGAGAATTTCATACAGTGCAGCACCCAGCTCTGATGAGCAAAGATTTAAAACAAAAAAGGTTACTGATGTAGTAAGCAGAACTGTTTCATCAAAGCATTGTGTTTCTTTAAATGGGATTCAGGGTTGATTTCTGAGTATGAGTGAGTGCAAGTACTGGGGGAAAATCAATCATGAATGCACTGCTAAAGAGGGGATGCTACTATTAAAAGTTCAACTAGCCACAGGCATGTAAGCCCTGTATGCTTCTGAGGCAGCCCCAGAGAAAAAGCTTTTCTGAGAATGTATATACCATGAAAAACTGTTCTAAACTTGCCGCAAAAATACATGCTGGTAGCCTGAGCCCACTGCAGATATTTTTTCAGAGAACTTCCACTGAAGGGTTAGTTATCTGCTCATATTAGTTGTTTAAAGGTCATTTTGGAAAGATTAATGACACATTAGAAAACTTGCACAAGTTTATATTGAAAATCAGTCTGCATGAACAGGTCACCTAATTTATTGAAAATTACTTCTTTAGGTTTAGGAATACAGAAGAAAACCTTAACTGCTCATCACAAAAGTCAAATGACTGAAGATAATGACTCAACTTCCACAACAAAAAGGACTTACAAATGCCCTTTATCAGTGTAGATCAGTTTTTTGCTAGAGGAGAAAAACATGCACAGCATATGCAGCATTGCTGTTCTTATTACAGCTTGATAACCTTGCCATGGATCATTTGTCAACAGTTTGAAGAAAGCAGTTAAGCCTGTCCACAACACTGCAAGAGAAGACCAGGCTGATGAACAGCAGCTTAACTCTACCACATTCAACCCAGGACAGATAATCTACAGCCTTAGCCTGAATGAAAGCTCACCAAACTTTTTACATCTGTAACATGCAGCTGATGGATTTTAAACAAATATAACCACAACCTCAGCTAGGGAGAGCTGAAAAGCCTACATGATACAATTCATGTTCCAGGATCCGAGGGAGATGATGACACCTTGGGTGAATTTGTACAAGGTTCCACTAGACCCTCTCTCAACTACTCTATGCTGACAAGCTTTTGACAAGTGCAAAGAGGCTACAAAACTATGAAACAGTCTTTAAAAAGGTAGTTTCAGAAAGCTTTATTGAATACTTCTTAATTTATTACAGCATCAGTAAATTACATTTTGCATTAGCCTGCTTTACACTTTCAAACCAGTTCTGGACGATGTTACAGAACTCTGTACTACCATCTCAGGGAACAAGTACAGTTTGGAAGCACTTCTAGTGGTGTTTGAGTGTGACAGTGACAGGCCTGAAGACAGGGTTGCTTTGTCACATGATGCCACAGGTAGAGAGAAAGCAGATCTCTTAAAATGCTGTCATGTTGGTTAACCATATGGCTGGTCCAAAGGCTCTTCCCTTCTGTTATCTTGACCAAAAAAAGCAACATGCCTCCCTACGTCATCACACTCTGTTGTTCATCCCAAACCTAGGCTTGTAGCAATACTGGTGGTAATTAAGAAATCTGTTCGCTTATTATAGAAGTGAGACAAATTCACTTGATAGAGACTATCACAACTTGTGCAGATGATATTGCATAAGTGAGAAAATAATTCTAAATGGGATTCTGAAGATTCTGAAGTCCAACATTCTTATTTAAAATACTTTTTCATATTAATTTCCTATGAACTTTGTATGTCTGCCTTGTGCAATTAACTTTCCTGTAGCCTTATTTGTTAAATCCACAGTGGCAAATGCAAGAGTTTTTCCTTGCTTCAGAATTTGAGCTGTAATCAGTATCTCTTCTCCAATCTTAGCAGCAGAAGTGTATCTTCAAGGAAGAAAAAAAGGAACAGGTAAGCAACTTTACAGAGAATAAATCCAAGAATATTCCTGCATTTTATATTATCATGAAGGAATTAGTAGAAGCGGGTAATAAAGCCAGATCTCTCTCTGACTGCCTACTTTCAAACCCCCACTTAATGGATTTGAGCTCCTCTAACTACTGGCAGTGGTAAGTAAGTGTAAGAGTTCTCGGAGAAAATGGAGGCTAGAAAGAAACCCATTGGCTTGGTTCTGAGGAAAAGTCTGTTTTGGAACAGAAACAATGAGATATCCAAGACTTCAGTTAAAAGTTCAGCTCCAAGTCCTATTCCAACCACTGCTGGCTTCCTACAGCCTTTCTAAACTAGTCTGGCAGCTTCAGCTGCAAAATGTCACTGTCACAAAGGCTCCAGAAGGTCATTTCTGTATGGAGCTGTAAGCACAGGTTAACTGTTCCCATACCCTGGTTAGAGGAAAGTCATGGAAATCTGGGCAGCCCTCAAATGTTGTTTCCATTTCATTAGAAAACTCTTTGTTTTATTTACATGAGCAAGAGGGTGTGCTTTTAAAACACACTCTTTGGGGAATAGGAAGAAATTTCTGCACAAAGAATTCCCCTGGAACGAATTAAGAGGAACATGATCCAACCATGATCTGAGGTAAGGGAACAATAATCAAATGTTAGAGTGTAGAGGAAAATGAAGAATTGCTGGATGTTAATCTTGTTGAGATAAATTTCATCAACGAGTCCATTTTTATACACGACGCCATGTCACAAGAATGTCAGTGACGCCTAACGCTGAGGTAGCACCAGCTCTGTTGCTTGACAAGGGCAGGATTTCAGCCTTGTCTCATTTCCAGAAGCTACTGCTGATCCTCTTGTGGTTACCAAAAAAAATTTTCTCTGTTTCTCTCTGTTCTTTCCATTACTGAAATAGCTTCCTCATGACAACTTTTTAAAAAGCTCCTTCCAAAAAAGGAAAAAAGTTCTTATAACAATATTTGATATCCAATCTCACTTGTTCAATGAATGCAGTAGTCCAAGTTAAAAAAAGATATTAATATTGCTTCATGTAACATTGCCTAAAGGTAATTTTGGATCACCTCCAGAGATAGCACTTTTGCCAGATTTCAGCCCTTATGTAATTGGGTGAACATAACTGATAGTGTCAATAATTCAGATGTTGGCCTCTTGTTATACTACTGCAGGAAAAAACCCATAATGACAGGAGAATTTTAGGTTTTAATTTCCAGTAAGATCCTAGTCCTCACAGTGGTAGCATGAAGCTAAAATAGATGCTTAATCACCCCATCTGCCTACTGGAGAAATCAGAAGGTGCTGGGAGAGAAAGGAGGAAACCTGGTAAAGATACAGATCAACCCCCCCCCACACACTTTTAAAGCTTTTTTTAATTTTTTTTAAGGCAGTTTTGATGAGGAATTACTTGTCTAACATTTTTAATGCTCTGTTAGTTATTCCAAGTAGGATTACTTTGGAAACCTGGTAAAGATGCAGATCAGCCCCCCAACACACTTAAAGTTTTCTTTTTTTTTCCTTTTTTTTTTTTTTAAGGCAGTTTTGATGAGTTACTTTTCTAACATTTTTACTGCTCTGTTAGTTATTCCAAGTAGGATTACTTTAGTTCCAATTGGTCATAATATCTTCATTAAAAGTAATGAAGCAAAGCTGACAAGCACGATCAAAGAAAGTTTCAGAACAATTTTTTTTAAGACACCGTGCTTTGAATTTTCATTACAGGAAGAACTATTCTCAGTAAAAAAAAAACAACAAAACAAACAAACCCAAAAAACCCCAAAACTTAAAATAACCTAGAGCAAAGGATTCTTCTTCCATTGAAAAATTCTGATTCAATCTGTAATCCACCCTCTATACACAACAAAGGTAAACTCTTTCTGCTTTAATATTTTACTCTGGTTTACAGAATTATACTACAAAAGGGTTTACAGAAAACTGCTTACCCTGGAGTTTGGGTTTTGTGGAGACATTAATGTACTGCACAAGCAAAAACTGAAACCAAACCAATTTCTTAGGAGTAAAATTGCTGACATATCAACATACCTTTACATTCTATGAAGGAATGGATACTGTCTCGTAAACATATGTAACAAATAAAATCTTAAAAAGGTCCAAATCAAAATTGAAATCAAGTGGCACTCTCCAAAAACACACATGCAACCCCTTTAATTTATCACAACAGGACTTCAGAAACCAAAGAAAACACCCATTTTTAGTGAGTGCTACAGCACATAAAAGATGTACAAGGGAGTCAGTTGGGGAAGAAAAATTTTTGGTACCACAGTGGATGATACCTACGTGATGTTCATGTCCACACTGACCCCAGGAGCTGCTCTTTCTGTGTACAGCAATGCTGCTGTTGACACCACATCCACAAGGGTGGCTGTCAAACCTCCATGTAATGTGCCACCTCTGTTTGTATGCTCCTCCTCTACTTTCATTTCACAAACAACTTTTCCAGGAGTTGCAGATTGAAGTTTCATCTGTATAAACAAAAAAGCAATAAAAAGCTTAGTTACAGTAGTACCAACACGTAATATTGCCCTCAATCAAATTGAAAGTAAATTTTTTCTGACTCTGGACTCATGAGACAAATTAAAAGATGGAAAATAGAGTAATTCAACTGTCCCATTAGATCTTTCCAAACATTTTGAGCAGAAGACTGTTGCCTTAGAAAAATCTGTACTCCTAATGCAGAGAAATATTTAAACTGACAGCTTAACAGAACTTCAATAGGTGCTATGCTGTCAGGAATTCCTTAGGAGGAAACTGTCTTCAGTTTTCCTTTTTCTTTAAGCTGTGAATGAAATACCAGATTAGAGGGAACACAAAACTGCTCTAAGTATCTGTGTGTGCCATAGTTGTGAAGGCATGTTTGTTGGCTCACAAAATGGAAATGAGACTATCAGTAATTCATTAATCATTATATAAGAGCAACCTCAATAAAAATCAGTATTTTGAAATGAGCATTGGAAATACTAATCAGATTGGCCTCTGATTGGAAATTCATATTCATGAGTAGAAGTATCCAAGGCTGTACCACAGTGTTACAGCATCATTATTGCATATACAGTTTCATTCCAGCCCACAGGTGGTAAATCCAGAATTACAGCTCACCTATGATACCATGCTTCTCCCTATAACCAACAAAAGAAGCTGTAATTTTGACACCAAGAAGTTACTGCAATTCAGTATTTGAAAATCTCTATTTAAATTTCTTCAGTCGATAGCAATATATTCCAAATCTGAAAGCAGATGCAAAACTGGGGTAAGTTCCACATATATTTACATGTATAACTAAGACTTTGAAGTTCTTTTAGACTATTAAAAGTGAAATGTGGACATAATTATTTATTTCTTCCTACTAATTTTCAGGTTTTTTACAAGGGCTTTTTTAAACTTGAATGTTCCATTCTGTAACCAGCTGAAGTTTAAATATTTTTTGATATTAAAAGGTATTAAGGTTGAAATGTTTCCAGTTTCATAATCCCTTATTTATAATGCAATGTAAGAGTTGAGTTTCACCCTTTCTGATAAACCAGAGTTTATCCAAGTTTTGCAGACAAATCAAGATTAATGATGATGCAGTGCAGTCTTCTAATGGAAAAAAACTGGTATTACAGAGAGAGGAAATTACTGAGGCAACATCCTAATGTAGAAATAGCACTTGTATCAATGAAAACCGCAAGCCCTAAATCAGGCATGCTGCACTGCACTGGAGGCCTGAGCTTCTCACAGAATTTCTAAGGAGGGCTTTACTGATGCTCAGCACTGGGAGCAGATGGCTTCCCCTCCTGTCAGGGACTGGTTGGTGCTCCACACCACCAGCGAGGTGAGCAAAGCATCTGGTCCCATTTGCCATTGCTCTCATCTGGCACTACATGCCTGCTCTCCTTGACAAAAATAGTTCAGTACTTGAACGCTTCCAGGACCTACTCAGCCAGAGCTGCTGCTCTGTGCCTCTCCCAGCCCTGCTGTGCTTGTCCTCCCACGCGTCTGCCTCGGGGAACAGCACATTGCTTCAGCATCCAGGCTTTAAACACACAGTCATTAAACCCTGGGTAGATACCACATTGGAGTTACACCAGAAACTACATCTGGGGATTGAGGTGAAAGGTTTCAGACTAAATGTGTCTCCAGAATAAGAAAAACCTTGAGTCATTTACTTATGGTAAGAGAGATTTCAGGTATCTCCCAGTTACTTTTAATTCAAACTGTACTTTTATTGTTATTATCATCAGATTCCTAGCATCCTAATTCTAAAAGGTTGCAGGAAAAATCTGAAAGTATTCCAGAGCAGGACTGGAAGCCTGTCTCCCAAGGCTCACTTCCAGGCAGTTACCTTTACAAACTGAAATGTTAATATTTGCTCACCACTTATCAGGATTTAAAAGGAGCGTAATGGTATCACAGTGAAGTGGTGACTAAGAATTAAATGGACTTCATAAATATATCAATTATCTTCTTAAAGCTTTATACATTTTTTAAAAACTTTATACTCACCAACATGTCTTGGAAAAACATGACTTCAAGAATTACTTTGCAAACAGTTGATTCTTATTAAGTATATCAGATCATGGAGCTGTCAACAAAAGCACTGCTTCCATGATAACATTTGCTACTGTACAATACAAAGCATATTAATTTTTACACGGCTGATTTTCTTAGATATATTTACTCCATCACTCCACGTCACAGTTACACAACCAAATAAAAATTAAAGGGAAAATTTAATGAGAACACCGAAACTGCTTCTAGAACAAGAACTTTCCTACACAGCAGCTATGCTACTGCATTCTACACAGACTGCAGTGTAAATTAACAGTAGCTTCAACTGTTTTTAACATGATGTAGTATGACACTGCAGCACTACCGGTGCAGTGTCAATTACATTTCCTTACACCAGAATGTGCAGTGAAGGTACAGTGTAAGGCCTTGTGCAGAAGAAATTCAGAGAGCACTGGGGGGTGTGCGTTGTGCTTTCAGCCTGACTTCAGGCTCAGGAGATGTCATAACGAGGCATCTTTCTAATTTTAAACAGGGGAGAGTTAACTTTACCATTCCCCGGTCCTGGAAGTTAGTGGCTTCGCACGTACGTAGGAAGGAAAGAATGCCACCTGCTGAATGACTCCTGAAGGTTATTCAGTACAGCCACCTCCAGAGAGCTGCTGGGAGGCAGCCGGAGTGCTTAACGAGAGTTACTGAATAACAATTGGGTAATTATTTTTATTGTAACAATTGTTTTAGCAATTGTTAGCAGCACGGCCACACGCCGGGGTGCGAGGCCTGGAATGCGGGGAAACAGCGGCGAGCCTGCACCACCGGGCTCCTGCCGTGCCCGCAGCACGGACGCCCCGATCCCGGCTCAGCCGGTTATTCCGGGAGGGGACCGAAGGCCGGAGAAACGAGCTGTCCCGGCGGGGCCGCGCTCCCGGAGCCCTGCCCTCCAAGTGCCCGTACCTTGCGGAGCACCCGGTCGAAGCCCTTCGACTCCACCATGTACTTCATGGCCTCCTTCAGGCTCTCCACCGTGAACCCCATGCTGCTGCCCCGCTGACCGCCGCCCGCCCGCGCCCCGGAACGGCACCCCCGGCGGGCGGTGCCTGTGCCCGCCTTCCGCCGCAGCCATGGAGGAGCGCGCCGAGGCCGCGCCGCCGGCGGAGCACAAGCGGGAGCAGCAGGATGAGGAGGCGCTGCACGTCGCCAAGCGGAGGAAGGTGCTGTGCTCCGAGTTCTCCGCCATCACCAGCAGCGACGAGGCCGTGGCGCGCCGCTTCTTGGCCGCCAGCGACTGGCACATGGAGGTACGGCCGGGGCCGGCGGGGCCGCGGGGCTGCCCGGCGGCGGCCCCTCGCTGCCAGCCGCCCCTGTGTTTCAGAGGGCGCTGAACGCCTACTTCGACCCGCCGCGGGACGCGGAGGCAGCGGCGGGCGGGGCGGCCCCGGGCGGCGCGGACAGCGGCAGCTGGTAGGTGACAGGGACGGGGGAGGTGGCAGGAGGAGGGGTCGGGGAGCGGAGCCTCCCCGGGGGAAGGCAGGTTCCCCACAGCCGGGGAGAGCCACCGCCGGGGCATCGCACCTCGGCTGAGGTGCAGCGAGGCACGTGGTTCCTGTTCCTTTTCTGCTCCTGTTCCCGTCCTTTCCCGACGTTTCTCTCCCATGGAGGGGCTCTCAGGTTTTTGGGCTCTGTTTTCCCTTTGTGGATCCTCTGGACTGATGGATTGTGAACCTTTTGGGGAAGGCGTAGGCACATTTTCGTCTCATTGCCTTGTGTTGTGCAGTGATATGTATGCAGATTTTACCATACACACATTTGTATATGTGTAAATTACACATATTTGCATTATGCCAGATGTATGCAAATTTTTATTTCTATAAACAAAATTGGCACGTACAAGCACACCTTGTTAAATGTACCTGTGAAAGTTAAGATGTAAGATCTGTGTTTTACATACACCATCTCACAGCACATCTGGAGAATGTATTGAGTGTATTGATCTGCATGTGGAATTGAACTTTTCCAGATTCCTGTGTGCGATAGTTTAACTAAGTAGTATGCACCCACTCACTCAGACACCCTGACTTACCACCACCCTCTCAGTGGGGTGAGAAAGAGAATTGAAAAAAAAGATAAAACCCATGGGTTGAGCTAAAAACAGTTTTACAGTAGAAATAAAATGAATGATAATAATATAAAATTAATTGTAATGAAATTTGAGATAACAAAAAGAGAGAGAAATGGAAGCCAAGAAGAATAAGTGATGTACGGTACAGTTGCTCACCACCCACTGACTGATGCCTAGCCCATCTCGAAGCAGCAGTTGGTTCCTCCTGGCCAATTCCCTCCAAGTTCATTTGCTGAACATGATGATCTACGGTATGGAATATTCCTTTTGCCAGTTCAGGTCAGCTTGCCTCGTCATGTTTCTTCCCAGCTTCTTATGCACCTGCAGAGCACGGCAAGCTAAAAAGCCCTTGTCTTGAGGTAGGCACTAGTTAGCAACAACAAAAACATCAGTGTGTTGTCAATTCTGACCAGGTTTGCTTGGCAAGGTTTTGGTAGTGAGGGGCTACAGGTATGGCTCCTGTGAGAAGCTGCCAGAAGCTTCTTCTGTATCTGACAGAGCCAAGGTCAGCTGGCCTCAAGGCAGACCTGCTGTGGAACAATGCTGTGCCCATCAGCGATGGTGGTAGCACCTCTGGGATAATGTACTTAAGGTTAAAAAGTTACAGCACCACGGTATCTGCAGCAGAAGAGAGAACTGAAAACAGCCCTGCAGACACCAAGGGTCAGCGAAGAAGGAAGGGCAGGAGGTGCTCCAGGTGCAGGAACAGAGATTCCCCATGTGCAGAGCGTGGTGAGGCAGCTGTGCTCCTGCAAGCCCAGTGGAGGACCACGGTGGAACAGAGATCCACCTGCAGCCCGGGGAGGACTCTCCACTGCAGCAGCTGGGTGCCTGAAGAAGGCTGATCCCATGGGAAGCCCACGCTGGAGCAGGCTCCTGGCAGGACCTGTGAGCACATGGACAAAGGAGCCTGTGTTGGAACAGGTTTGCTGGCAGGACCTGTGACCCCATGGGGAGTCCACTTGGAAGCAGCCTGTTCCTGAAGTACATGGGGAAGGAGTGGGATTGTGGGGAAAGAGTTGAAATACTTTGGATTTTGTTGGTTACCATCTGATTAGCTTACATCAGAATGGTAAATGTTATCTTCCATCCATCAGGTGGAGAAAAAAAACTCACTTCACCTGTGTACCACGCTCTGTACGACTGGGGTCGGTATGTTTTAGTTTTTGCGATGTAAACGATGTTGAGATCCATACCTGCTTTAGAAGATAAGTGAGGCAATCACAGATAGGTTAGTATTATGCATGTTAACAAACAAATACTCTCTCTCTTTAGCATTGACCTCACTGGAGATGCAACTACAAGTACTGCTGGTGTCAACAGTGAAGACTCACAGCAAAAAGAAGATGACAGCAACTTCTCGCTGATCACCTGGAACATTGATGGGCTGGATTTAGGAAATGTGAAAGATCGAGCCAGAGGAATCTGTACATACCTGGCATTGTAAGTACAACCTCCTCTGTGTATTGTCAGGTGCCTGCATTCAACCGAAAAATAAAAAGGCTTCTTGATTTAAGAATTTACAAATCTTCATGTCCCAATTATCTTTATGTTAGATGCAACAGATCACTCACCCTGTAAGTCCGAAATAGCTGAGAGTTGTTAAACTGACTAAAAGGTGTGAACCTATGCAGCATTCCAGAGGTTAAATATTTTGAGATGGCTACTTTAAAATTGTAATAATGGGCAATATTGTTCAAGTTGCAATCATACATCACAAACACAGTTCATAATTGCATCCTGTACATGAGAATCTTCTGGAAAACATGTCCCAAAGCTACTTTGCAGCTGCTTAAGTTAAATTCCTCAAGTTATGTAGTATGTGAAACCTGCAAGGTCGTAGTAGAAGGAAGTAATGCATTTTATTACCATGTTGTTTTCATGTTCATAATAACAATTGTTTCCTCCCTTTTAGTAAGGTGGTGGTGTCTTTGTGCTGCTAAATACAATGCAGATAGCTTTTTCTTTTTTAAAGAGCAGTTTCTTACAAAACCTAGGAAAGTGAGGGCAAGGTGCACCTGAAATCCCTGACTTTGTTCATTTGGCGTCAGGGTGTTGCAGTACTACTTCTCAGTAATTAACTGAAATTTTTCTTGCCTTGCTGATTTCAGATACAGTCCAGATGTTGTGTTTTTACAGGAGGTCATCCCACCACATCTCCCTCTTCTCCAGATGAAAGCAAGCAATTACACTATTATTCCAGGTAAGAAAATATCCTCAGGTGCTAAAGACAAAAACCAGAAAACAAAGGTTAGGTTTATTCTGTTTCTCTTGCTAAAACCTCCAACCATTTTAAAGTATATAAAGAGTAAAGTTGAGAAGGAAGCATTTGATGTTTCTGTGTTTTGGTATCAGCATGTAGCTTGAGGCAAATTATGCATGTGAAAAGCTTGTTTTTCTGGCGTTTTCCTTTGTATTTATTTCTGCATTTTGAAAGATTGGTAGCAAGGGTAATCAAAAAGTACCATAGATAAGTAATTTTTTTAGGTATTTGCATTTAAAAAAATATGGAAAATTCAGACCATTATTTTGCAACTTTCCACTAATGACTTAAAAATCAACATATTCTCACCGCTTGTGGTAAAAAGGTCTCTTTCAGAACCTTAACTGCTTTATGGCAGTTCTGCTGTGGCACAGCAGAAGATGTCCTCAAACATTTCTTTGCTTGGTCCTCTGTAGGTAACGTAGATGAATATTTCACTGCTGTAATGTTAAAGAAATCGAGAGTGAAGCTACTGAAACATGCCATAATACCTTTCCCAACGACTGCCATGAAGAGGAACCTTTTAGTTGTGCATGTGAGTGAGTCAGGATGTACCAAGCAGCTGTACTTCTGCCTTCCAAACAGAAAATCCCGGGAAACACTGAACTGGCTTTTTCTCTATGATAGTCTCAAAGAGCAGAAAAACTTCTCCAAGAATACAAACCCAGTTGCATTTGATACTGACAAACTTAAATCTTTTATACAAGTTACTTACCACACTTTGCTTTTGAGTCTCATAACCTCTGATAACAAAACTAAAAGCCTGTTATCCTTCTGTAAGCTGCTTTTCTTCAATGTAAAACTAATGTTAACCAGAGCTCTGACATTGAGTCATTTGTGATTAGATTTTTGTTTGAGCTTCTTACCATCATGTGGATAGTAACACTGCCTCTTTGTTTCACACATAGGTGAGCATATCTGGTATTGAACTTTGCCTTATGACTTCTCATCTGGAGAGCACTAAAGATCACTCAAAGGAACGTATAAAGCAGCTTCAAATCGTGTTAAACGAAATGCAGAAAGAGTCTGAGTCCACCACTGTTATATTTGGAGGGGATACAAACCTCAGAGACAGCGAGGTAAATAGAAATAAGCAACTTTGCTCTTTAGAGAAGGTATTTTGACAAAAACTTCTCAGGCTTTTCTGTTGTCTTGATAAATTACCTGCTTAGGCAGAACAGAGATAGTCAACACTAATTCTTAAGATGTGGAACTGTGACTAAGTAGAATTAAGCATTGTTTTGGCTGAGGTTGTGTGTATGGAGACCCCTTCCAAATAACAAAGTGCTTTAATAACAATACTTGTATCTGAGCTGGTGCAGGCAGATTTGATGGAAGTTTTGGCTTCAAAAACATCTTATGATTTTGAGAACCTGGTCTTTACTTGTTCTACTCTCCAATTCTCAGAATCAATGTAAGAAGAAGGTGCTTTGGAGAAATAGATCTTAATTCCCAGCAATCAAGACATTCAAAATTAGAAGTAGTTTTTGTCTGCTGATACTAAAAGGAAAATTTGTGCATTATTACTAGCAGGTCAAGAGTTTCACCTCTTCCTATCATGAAATTCCGTTGAGGTGAACTGGAATGACATTGGTTTAGGAAACATGGTGTTGGGCCCTATACCTCAACATTTCAGAGCTGAACATTTATTTTGGAACATGTTTTGGATTTAGAAAGTGCTGCAGGAAATGGCTGCACTTTAGAGTATCTGGAGAAATACCATAGTTTAGAAACATCTCTGAGATCTTTGATTTTTAACAACTTATGTTTTGCAGAAAAAATCCAATGCTGTGACAACTGGGTTCTATTTTTTGAAGGCAGAATTTTGAATTCACTATCTTGTGGAATTTTTTCCCTCCTTCTACCTTCAGGTTACTAAACTTGGAAATCTACCTGACAACATCAAGGATGCCTGGGAGTTTCTGGGTAAACCTCAGCACTGCCGCTACACTTGGGACACCCAGTCCAACACCAACCTGAATGCAGCCTACAAGTGCAAGATGAGGTTTGACCGTATTTACTTTCGGCCTGCAGTGGAAGGGGGGCATTTCATTCCACGAAGCATGGACTTAATTGGTTTGGAAAAACTAGAATGTGGCAGATTTCCTAGTGATCACTGGGGCATTCTGTGTAATTTTGATGTTATATTATAAAAAAGAAAAAAAATACTCATATCTTCAGTTTTTAGGTGATTTATTCTTGATTTTACAAAATTTTACCCTCTCAGTTTAAGGTAGGGCATATTTAAGTTTTCAACCCTAATATGTTCTTTGTTCTTGGCTTCTGCAGGAATGGCTTTGTTTCAAGCCAGGTTTCCCTTTTCCTGTTGTATGCATCTTTTCTTGAATTATGTTTTATAATATTTATTTTTGAAAATATCTGCAAAACCAAACAAATTCTAGTTTTAAAATGGCAGGAAAAACCAGTGAATACAATTCATAAACACACTCAGTGATTCAAAAGATACTTTTATTTTGACATGTATCATGATCTCATAATAAAGGTTGCTTTTTTGTATTTTAAGACTACTTTTATTGTGCCTTCATTGTTTATTTTGTAACCATTGCCATCATCCTTTATGACCTTGTCTTTTGTAGAATGTTTTGTGTTGGCTTCTGAAGTTTGTGTTGAATGCACACGCCCCTTCAGGCAAGACAGTAAAGGAGCTGAGGAGAGAATTACTAGATTCTCACAAAATAAGGGTTTCTTAAGTAGAAACTGAACTATTGTGGAACAGATTTAAGAAAAATATTCCTTCTATTTGACAAGAAAGTGATGTAGGCAGACGCGTGGAAGTTGTTCACTTGGGATGGTGTACACCTTGGTTTTTATTAGCCTGGGTATGAGGTTCTGATTAAGACGTGTTGTGTTTTAGTGAGCTCTTATAAACTGCTGGGCAGAGCCTGCACAGCTCAAGGCCTTGCTGACTTTGCAGAATACCAACCAGGCCTTCCTACTCTAAGAACTTCGTAATCAGTCTCATAGAAGCTGTTGTTTTATAGATGTGCAATGCTGATTTAAAAGGGAAAGTCTCCTAACTTTCTGATGTGAAGTTGAGTGCACAGGTGTGGAGAAGGAGAGATAACGTGTCAGTGATGTGAACGGAGTTTGACAGCCTAAATTCTTCTTTTTGTTGTTGTTTGTCTTTGGTCTTGAGCCCAAAGCTTAAAAGCAACTTGCAGCACTACTGTGGTGGCTTGGTTCCACCTGGTAGCCAGTCTGCCTCCTAGCCACTCTCTCACTCCCCTTTCCCAATGAGGTGGGAGGAAGAAATCAGAAAAAAACCCCCAAAAATCCAGGAAAGCTCATGAGTTGAGATAAAGACACTTTCCAATTATCCTCATGGGCAAAACAGACTTGGTTTGGGGGACTTAATTTGTTTTGGAAACACATGCAAGGAAGGAAGTTCCAGGAAGTTCAACTGAAACATGGAGAAGAACTTCTTTACTGTGCATGTGGTTGAGCACTGGATCAGGGTGCCCAGAGATGGGGTGGAGTTTCCCTCACTGGGGATATTCAAAACTCACTCCTTACTAATGTGCCCCAGTGGACTGACTGTGGTTGATCCAGGAGCTAGATGACTGCTGGTGTTCTTTTCCAACCTTACCCATTATTACTCTCTGACAGTAGTTTACAGCCAGTGAAAGTGTTTGACCACTCTTTCACTCTTTCCTGATGTACAGTCTAAACCTCTCCTCAATAAGTTAACCAGCTTTTCCTCTTGTCACAGGAACAGGGAGGCCTGAGGAAGGTGTGGTTTTCCTTTCACTCAGCAGGAGGCCCAGGTGACTTTACTAAACAAGCAAATAAGCCTCAGGATGTTAATTCATCTGAACAGAAATCAGCTGCAGAGATCTCCTGTTCTTCTTTCACTTCTTTAAACAGCAAATTCCTTATATTAAAGGTGAAAGAGAACAGCCTGTTTTGGAAGGATGTCCAATCCTTGATTGCTTTTAACATATCCCATTATTTTATAATAACTCAGCTGCAAAAACAAGGAGGGAGAAAGCACTGATACATTATTAAACTCATGTTGAGCCCATAATCTCTTCTTTCTATTCCAAAATAAATAGTTCTGTAAGAAAGTGAAAAATACATACAACTGCCAGAATTTTCCAACTGCCAGGCTTTTCCTTCTGAGCTTAAAATGGGGCTGGCACGGATCACATATTATGATTTGCTCCATGACAATCTTGTTCCTTACTAAGCCTTTGAAGAAATGTCATGGGGTTTGTTGTCAGGGCTTACACCTCCTCCCCCTCCCTGGTATTTCCAGCCAAAGGATTTCTGGGGAAGGTGAAGGCAGTTGGACTTTTCTAACAGTTTGAGAGAGGAAAAGTACAATAAGCTTGTGTTTCATCATCAAGAAACACCAGATTATGTGGCCTTCTTTATTATGGCTGCTTTTGGTTATGTGGCTGCACCTGCTGGACTATTTTGGAAGACATGAAAGAGGCTGACTCCTGTTGTTCTGAAATAAGGGATAAAAAAAGCAGGAAAAAAAAGCTTTCAGAGTAGTGTGTGATCTATCTCAATGCCTAAGCTCCAGATCCATTTCTAGCATTGGCTGACTCCTCCTTTGATCAGCAGTCTATTCTAACCTTTGGAATAGATAGTGAGGGGGGGACATAAGAGCAAGAAAAGACATAATATTTTGTATGGGCCAATTAATTTTTATAATTATAAACAGTAGGTAAGAGGAAGACTCAATTCAGTGCAATTAATGGTTAGTCATTCTTTTAAAATGAGGAAATTATGCATACATCCTTTGAAAGCATTCTTGAACTACAGAAGTGGTAATACTTTATAAGAAGACATAAACACTAAATGTTACACTGACTACTGGATGTGAAGCAATACATCTTTAATTAAATGTAGTTTAAACCACTTAATAAGCATCTAAATTGCTGACAATCAAGAGCAGTCAGAGTCTTTAATTTGCCTCTTAATTTAATCAGTGATGTAAAAGGTAAAATATCTGCTGAATACAGTAACTACAACTTAAAGGGGTAGAAACAGCAAAGTTAAACCAAACTAAACAGTTCTTGGCCTGACATTTGTAATTTGATTTATTTTCTTTATTAAGTAGCATAATATGGCATCCATACAGCCCAAAGGACTTATACAAATGTGAATGTGAGAAAATCAATAAGTACAGTAACCTATACTTGTGGAAATCATGTACAATTGGAGGCATAATTTTATTAATTCTTTGATCCAGTTATCAAGAGAAGCAATTTCTTCTGAGAACCCAGCCAGTCTTAAACAGTCCTACATGAAAAGAGCTTGAACTTACTAAAAGAGAAGAGATATACCTAGAATTAAATAAGGAAATGTTAAACATATAGGGAGTTAAATAATAAACAGATTTAAAAAGAAAAAAAGGGGGGTAAATAGCAGGTAAATTTCCCAGGGTTTTGTTCACTAAGATTATAATAAATGTTCATTAATGAAGATGTGTAGATTTTATCTTTTTATTTCTTGGAGACAAAGCTTGTGTAACATCAGCTCAGAGGAAAGAGACTCCCAGTGACTGAGAAGTCTTCAGTGCAGCCCTGACATTTGAGAAAGTAGGAGGCTTAAACAGGAGGCACGGTGGGCTGAAACACTGCTTAATTACAACGATTGAAATGAAAGTTATACTGTTTCTGCAGTGATAACACTTAAATGAAAGACAAAAAGGAAGGATTCCACCATGCCATTATAACATTTTGCACATATTCCTGATACTGTTACTGGTGGGACAGAGGAGCTAATGAGAACCTACTCAGAAATCATTTGTTGAGGCAGAAGCTTTTTCTGGACCTGGAAGTAGATACTGCATGCAAGTACAGCTGGTAAGGCTGGACAAATATGTCCAAGAAAGGGAACTTACTTTCTTGTGGCTTTCAAAAATTCTTCCAATTATTGAAAAATCAGAAAAAAAAATTCTCACCTAGATACTCTGGAGATGAATGCAGTCATGCTTTTCAGTGTTGGCAGATACTTCCTTGGGCTGAAACAGGTCAGAATTTTTTCCATTTAGGATGGAAGGTGGGAGAAAAGTGCCTTTCTGCAAAAGCACAAAACTATCCCACCAAGGTTTGGTAACCAAACTTGTGCATTTTCCACACCTCCAAGCAGATGCCTGGCTTGTGAACAAGGCAGATAAGAAGGGAGAGCAGGGTTCAGGATGCCCAGAGAGCTGCACCAGCCCCCTGCAATGGGAGAAACCTCCCAGTAATGCTATCGCTTGAGTCAGGGCTTCCCTGCCACCAGCACCAAGTGGGTGGCAGAAGGACCATTTGATGTTGATGGGATGGGTGCTTGCCAGGTCTCCTAACTGCCCCTGGATGTGTGGCAGTGAGTTACCTGTCCTGCCTGATGGCAGCTTCACAGGGCTTTTGTCTGTCCAACTGGGTGCACCTACTGTGGAAAGGAGCTGGAGGTGGATCATCACTGATCTATGTTTTAAAGCTTCCATGGTCTTCAGATAGCTTACATCACACTCAGCCTATTAGTTCATCAGTGTTAAACCTATAAGCTCATCAGTGTTATGAAAGGCAAGAATTGGCTCAGCAGGAAAATACCATCTTAGCCTCTGCCCTCTGCAGTAATCTGCTTTCTCAGTCTGCTCCTCAGTTTGTTAGCATTTCTGGAGTGCACAGGCAGAGAATGGGCAACAGGAGCTGTTGCTGGGGTTCTCAGCTGGGAGCTGTCTGCTCTGATGCCTTTGGGACTGCTTGCATGGGACTGGCTGCATCCTGTTTGTACAATGGAGAAGGAAAGTCTGCTTGTGACAGAGCCAAGGGCACTGGACCAGCTAGTGCTGTGCAGAGAAGCAAAGAGGGGTATTTGCTGCTTTCATGCTTTCCCCTGCTTTCACTAAGATGGTAGGAGGTACCTCTGGGCAGGATGAGAAGAGGGCTTGTCTCCCTCAGCCTGCACTGCACCAAGGAGCCCTTTGCATACTTGCACAGATGGTTCAAAAAACTCTAGTTTCAGTATCCAAGTGAGTGTTTTTTTTCCTGCAGAAGAATCTGACGCTATATCTGGTGCTTCTCCAGTCAGTAAAATTAGGAACTCAGGAGCATGCAAAGCATTGGAGGGCAATCATCTTCCCCCACTGGCTCCGTAAATCACCCCTGGGTGCCGACAGGAAGGCTGCAAGGCAAGAGGAAGGGGGCTGCCTTGGTAAGGACAGACAGCCAGGCTTCCTCTGTCTACACACACTTCCTTTTCTAAACCAACCAGTCTTGGTCAACGTCAAAAAATATACAACGTTCTCATTGATCTTTTCTTGTGTTATTATTAGAACCATTATTTTTACATCAAATAAGCAGAGTTCAGCCTCCCTAACTATGGCTTAACCATGGAAATCACAGAAACTCAGGAATAAAAATTGACATAACAACAGAGCATGAAAATTGTTTTAAATGCAGTCAGACAATTTCAGAGTTTCAGTTCAGAGATTCATGTTTTATCTTTACAGAGCTTGCACCAAGGGAGACTTGACTATGTCAGGAAAAGTCATACAGCCTACA